CAAAGCCCGTATCATCCATCCAGGCAGTTGAAGGAGCACAGGGCAGAGGGGCAGCAACAGCCAATAACCCAAATTTTGAAATTATGAACTGTGATGAGCACACTAGACATCAATATTGGGAAATCTTTTTAAATAAAGAGCTATTTAAAATAGCACTTGCAGATATAATACATCAAAATTAGAGAGCTTTAAGAGCAGTAGCAGAACACTCTTCAGCCAGGGAGGTGGTCTTTAGGTACAGATCTCAAGGAAATACCTTTCATATCCTTCAAGAGATCAAAGTACATAAACACATACTGCGTGATACCTACAAGACCCTAGCAAGTTAAGGGATGAAGTGGTATAACAGCTTCCAGAACCAGGATGCATGTAGGTACAAAACAGCCATAGAAACCCCCAGGGCATAAGAAAAAGGTGAACGAGATGGTATTGCTAAGAAATAGAAAAGGTAAATCAAGTGACAACACAACAGGAAATCACCTCCAGAATACAGTGCAGGGAAGAAGCAGCGTGCAGATCAGTGACAGAAGGTTAGGGATAACACCCGTACAAGAGGAAAAAAAAAAAAAAACCAACCCACACACCTTAGACATGGAGACACAGAGGAAGAATTAATGAAATTATTATTTGGCAGGCTTCCTTTTCGTATTAGGTTTTGCTTCTGCTCAACCACCTCTAACAACAGGAGTAAAGAGAAAATAGTTAGCCAGTGTTAGAATGAGGTACCGCAGACAGCCGTCAGTCTCCTGATCAGCCTGCAAGGCATGACTTTGGGTCACCGCAGCACACGTGGCCATCAGCAGACCTCAGCTAGTCCCATTTTTATTGTTACCATTTGTAAGTGTCGGGCAGGAGGAAAGCCACTCCTGCAGCAGCAGTCAGAAGGCTGGACAGGGCTAGGCACAGCCGCACAGCTCTCAGCAGGCTTCTGGAAGGGAGTGCTCTTCCTCTCTCCAGCAAGGAGAGCAGGATGGGCGGCTTCCAGTTTCAGAAACCAATTAGGCAGAAACTGCTATCAAAGCAACAGAGAGGGCCCTACCCTAACTACGTTGAGAAACAAGGCAGCGCTATCCCAGCCATTGGGCCAGTTTCATCAGTCCCACTCGTTCCTCTCGCTGAAGCTACCCAGGGTGCTTTTCCAACCTATCTTCCTACAGCTCAACCTGAGCATCATCTAGTATTAAACACCACATTCTGCCTGAAAACGCAGCCAAACCTTTAAGTACTGGTTTACGAGCGGAGTAACCAATTCCCAGGCTTTAATCCTTCAAGGGACAGTTTTTAAGAGCACCACTGCACTAATGAGAGATGCATCAGGTTCACACATCAGCAGTTCTACCATGTACAAATGGAGGGTTACCATCCTACTGTCCTGTTGGAAGAGTATACAGCACATAAACACACACACAAATAGAACAACAAAAACCCACAACAGTGAATCTAGAAGGAAAACAAAAACATCAACAAAATCCTATTTGGCATCAGTATAACATTCTTCCAGAGAGTCCAAAATGAGTTACTGCAAAACTGTCCTTTAGATTTTGCAACCAAGATTAGGTGCACAGCGTGAGAACTAGCTAAAGCAAATAAACTTGCCTTCCTCACCCTCTACGTTAACAAATTCTGAATAATCTGTTACAAAGCCATGATGCTCAAACCATGGAGCAAAGAGGCCTTTATGGCAAGTGTCAGTCAGCCATGAGATTGCTTTAAGTCATATCAAGCCTAGCAGACAACAGTACTTGGTGTAATTGCAACAAATTATTTTGTTGGTCTGCAGTAAACACTTTCCAGAAGCTCAAGAAAAGGGAGGGGGGGGGGGGGGGGGAGAGAAATCAATTCCACAGTCATTAGATGAAAATTTGCAAACCAAACTTTGGGACTTCTATTTTTATAGATATTTTGGGTCATGTGTTACATGACTACCCTTTGTTTCTCAGTATTATTTTTGTCCAATTTGGGAAACGACATCCATCTGGAGGCAATGCAAGAACACCTAGGCGAGGAACAAAAGCAAGCTTTAAGCTCATACCTCTTCTCTTATGCTATAATCAGCAGGTAGATAGCATCAGCATGTGGAGAACTGCAAGCTTCTGATTTACATATTCATCACCTGATTTTGAAGCTGATTTCTTGCACTATTAGACCTTAAGATAACAGCTAAACTCACAACCATGATCTTTGCCATACCACGCACTTCCTACGGGCTCAACCTAAGAACACACATTTTTTTGTGCGAAGAAAATCTACAAAGCAAGAAAGACCTGAACAGAGAATAAGCCACTTGGGAATTACTTCAGCACAGAAATCCATATGGTGGGGTGGAAAGAAACACGGAATGATTCTAAAACCACCAAAATATAAATACCAAAAAAAAAGAGGCAGATCTCCTAGGGATTCTTGATACCAGTACAGCTTGAAAGAGATATGGGAAGGCCAAGAGGTTCCTACTCTTGCAACAACCGTAAAATACTTGTAACTAACAACTATTACATGAGAGCAGCGTGCCTGGAAAGTCACCTTCTTCAGAAGCCAGAGGACAAGAACCTGCTAGGAATCCCCTCGCATTCAAGGTTCAGGTTTCTCATCAACTTCTGAGCACAGTCTAATAAGATGGAAAAGACAATGCCTGCTCACCCCTTCCCCCTGCATACCCTGAGCAGAAGAGCAATCACCACGCTCCCTGCACTCCAACTCTCTGACACAAGGTCCAGCAAGCCCTCCTCCACTCCTTCAGCAGTATTTCCACCTCATCTTTTGAATCCCTTCTTCCTAGGGAACTACTGCTGGGCTCAACCAGAAGGTTGTCACCAAAGCAGGCGCGACCTCACCGCATCATTTCACCACTCCTCCAGCCTTACAAAGGAGAGCAACGAGGCTGGCATCGAGCAGGCTAAGTTTTTGCTTCCTGGTGACCCAGAGATGGTCTGAACCAAGATGGAGATACAAAAGCTGCCTACAAGACTCAAAGAAGAGCAATCCATCCATTTCCACCTGCTTCACAAGGAATCTTTTATGCCAGCTTTCACTCAAAAGGGTACAGAATGTTAATAAGTATCAGTACAAACACACATTAAAATAAAAGAGCCCAGCAAAATCTCTGTACAGCACACCAGGCTTTTTTTCAAAGCAGTCAACAGCAGTAATAGATGGCTTGCTACATCATTCCACCAGGTGCTACTGAAACTCAAGAGAACAAGAAAAATATTTCCCTTTTTGGCAACCAGCAGGGCCGCTCTCTCACAAAGGGAAAAAAAAAAAAGTTTAAACTTCCTGCACCGTCTTACACGGATACATTAATTGAAAATACGAACTGCCTTTCCCACAGAGTCCTTGCATGTGGTTCTCCTGCTTTGTTCTGACATTTTTTTCCAGACAGCAGAAGGACCAGGAGCACATGACTAGAGCGACTGGGGAGGGGGGGGGTGGGGGGGTTATCACAAGTGCGTGTGCTTTATGCTACGGCCTTTGTTTCTCCCTCGGTGTTATACACTTGGGATCAAATCGTATTTGCAAACTTGTTAGTCTGCATCAGTTAGCACCCGCTTCACAGGCAAGCATCTGTCTAGTTTCTGACCTCAAACAAACAGGAAAGGAGCATCAATGACCTTTCAGGAATTGAGCCGTAGAGCTTGAATAAGGCAAATTTAGCTTCAGAGCGTGGCAGGGCTAGATCTGGCTAGCGTTAGACAGCCACCTGCAGAAATACCCATCAACAAAACCTGCTTCCTATTCCACACTCACATGAAGTAAATCGATAAATTAAAACGGAATCACACATATTCCCCCACCCCCCGTGTGAATTAAGATCTTTAATACACTTGAACCAGATCATACATAACCCATATTAGCGGCAGAAGAGTATAAAGGGCACTCTGCGTTTTTCAGAGTGCAGCAGGCACCCCGATCATGCAGATACAAAGCAGCTCCAGAACCTCAGCCCAACATTCTCCTCAAGGCTTCAACCGCAGCGGAAGTACATTTCGGTGCAGAAAAACGTCAGAATTTCTCATCTGTCAAAAAGCCCACAGCCAGGCAGAGTCCCGGCATGAAAAGCCTCCAACACCAAGAAACACACACACACACACACACACACAGCAGTGTCAGGTGTAACCACATGCGATATCGAAGGGATCCATCAAATGCTCCAGGTCCCATAAAGACCCTGCCCTACGTTTCCATAGCGGAAAAAAAAAAAAAAAAGGGGGGGAATATTACCGAAAACAAAGCCCATAGCATGAATTGGCAACGATTTGACTGTTAACAGGCACGTATTCAAAAGAGGCCTTCAGAAATCGTTTGCCATTCCGGACATACAGTTAATCATAGGTGACCCGGAGCCGGGCCTTTCTCCGGTCACACAGAGAAGCAATGCCCATTCTCCATTCACACAGCATGGCCGAGCCCACCAGCTGCAACGCGACGGATGGGCACGTATCAAGCACCGATCATTTCCAGCATGCCCGTGCAGAATAAAGCACAGGCCTCATTCTTAAAAATATTCCCCTCGAGAAAACCCGGAGAAGGCATCCTCACCTCCGAACAACCACTCGCTCACACGCCACAACGAGGATCTTCTTATTCCCTCCATCGGGGATCGTTAGCAGCGTACGAGACACCCTTTGTAACCCCCTCAGACAGCCTTTGTAACCCCCCCCCCTTTTCTCCCCAGCCATTTCTTTCCCCCTTAACAGGCCCACACCCCACACAGAGCTCTCCCCCCCACCTCCCTCCCTCCGAGGGCACAAAACACCTCACGGGGACGAACGTCACGGCCGTACCCGCGTGCCCCGTCATTCATCCCCTCCTTCCCGAGGCACAAAGCCCAAACGGGGCGGCGGGAGCCCCGAGGAGCCCCCCTCGCAGGCACGGCCCGCAGGGACGTAGGGCAGGGCCGGGAACGGCCTTTTTACGTCCCGCAGGCCCGGCCGAGCCCGCGGCCCACCCAAGACGAACGCGGGGCAGGGCTGGAAGGCGGCTGGGAGCGGCCCGATACTCACGGCTGACTTTCATGCTGCCGAACGCCGAGGGCTGCTGCACCGGCTTGCAGCTCTCCGCGAAGGAGGTGGTCCTGGGCCGCCCGGACATGGTCTCCGGTTCCGGCTGCGTCCCGACGGGCTGTCCGCCTCCTCCGCTCTCCTTTGGGGCTGGCTGCGGGGCGCTCGGCTGCGGGCTCAGCGGGAGGCGAAGGGCGAGCCGTGCCACATGAACCGCCGGCCTCCTTCCCCCCCGGGGAAGCCCCCTCCCCTCGCTCTCTCCCCCGCCGGCCTTTCCGCGCGTCTCCTTTCTTCTCTCGCCGCGCTCCTCCTCGCCGCCCGGCGCTCACAGAGCCATCCTCCCGCCGCGCCGGTGAGGTCCGAGAGCCGCCTCCGCCCAGCCGCAGCCCCCCGGGCCGGCCGCGAGCAGCGGGGGTGTGCTAGGCCTCGCTGCCCCCACCCTCAGCCCAGTCACATGGGGCGGAGGCTCGCGGCCCGGCTCCTCCGATCCTGCCGCTCGGCTCCTCTTCTTCTCCTCCCCTTCTTTTCCCCTTTCTGTCTTTTTCCCCTTTCCCTTTTTCTGTTTCTGTGGCTTTCGGGATTTGTTTTTTGGGTTTTTTCTTTTTTTTTTGTCTCCCTCCTCTCTCTTCCTCCTGCCCTCTCCTCTCCTTCCCCCCTCGCCTCTAAGGGAGGCGGCGGGACTACTTTTCCCCCGGCGGAGGGATCTCGGGGCTGCTGGATCCGCCGACGAGAGGCGATGCGGCCGCGCGCAAGGGGATCCGGCAGCGGCGGCGGGATCCGCGGCGGGAGGAGTGGGGTGAAGCGGCGCGGGCGGCCTCGCTCCCTCGCTGGCTGAAGCCTCTCAGTGCGGCGCTGAGGCGGCGGCTCCGACGCGGCTCCTCATTGCGCCCGCAGGGGCAGCTGGCGGCGGCTCAGGCTGGACAGGCTGCAGTGCGGGTGGTGGCCGGCGGCGGCGGCGCGGGCCATGGCGGCGGCGGCTCCCAGCTCCTCCTCGGCCGGCTTCAGAGCGCCGGCGGCTCTCGCTGTTGCTTCCCCGGGCGTCCGAGGCGCATGGGAGCCGTCCGCCCGGCTGAAGGCTCCTGCCGCTCCCTCCTGGCGCCGGCTGCCTCTCGCCGGGCCCCCCTCCCCGTTTCTGTTGATCGGTCCCTTTGTCCCCGCTGCTGCCTCCGCTGCGTGCCGGGCTCCCGCTGCTGCGCTGTGTGCGCCAAAGCCGCGCAGCCGCCTATGCCCGTCGCCGCCCTACGCTGCGGAACGGCCCTAGGCACCTTCTGTGAATAGCCAGCCGAAGCGCCCGACGCACTCGTTAGCCCCCAGCCCGAGGCCCTTACGGAAATACCCGAGCCTCGTCGGGACCAATCCTGAGGCCGTTACGGAAATGCCTGTGACGGGTCGTAACCAATCGGGAAGCCCTTACGGGCGCACCCGAATCTCCCCGAAGCGAGGCGGAGGCCCAATCGGAAAGCGCTGCCACCGCCCTAGCAGCGCGGTCGGGCGGCCAATAGGAAGAAGGCCTCTCTTCCGGCTATTACCGGGCCAACCCGAAGGGAGCCGAAGCGGGAGAGCCAATCGCGGGGCGCTCTGTCTCGATTACACAGCCCTGGGACGGTTTCAAGCCGCAGCCCGAGGCGGAGAGCGGGCGCGAGCTGCGATTGGCTCGCACGACGGAGAGCTGCGATTGGTTCACGGCGATGAGGCGGCCCGAAGACGGCAGCCAGCTGCCAGCTCTCCACCAATCCCCAGGCCGGGCCGGCAGCAGAGCCCGCTCCCATTGGGGCACGGCAGTGGCGGGCGCCGACCCTCTCACCTCCATGACCTCACCGGCTGCGCAGGGCGGGGATGCGGGCCGAGTGCGCATGCGCGGGCCGGTGGGGCGGGGGAGGGGGTTTCATCGCCACCGCCCTTGAGGGTGAGGGGCTGCAGCCTCCTCCGCGGGGTTGGGAATTGCGGGTAGCGGCTCTTTGCGTGCAAACAGCCGGGTGGCCCTTAGGAGCTAGCACGGCTCAGGGAGAGAGGCCGTTAAGCGGCGCAGGCGTGGTGAACGCCTGCTTAACGGGCGTCTGGCGGCTCTCGCCTCAGGGGCTTGGCGGCAACGGGGTTCCAGTCAGGGAGGGGCGGCGACACCGGCTTCGCGCGGCGGCTGTGACCGTTACAGCCGCTGTGACCAGGCGTCCTGCCCATGCAGTTAGAGCTGGGTGTGAAGCCGGATCCAAACGAGCTGTGCGAAAGGAGAGCCTTGAGAATGCTGCTGGATAATACCGTGCTTGCAAACCGCCGGGGATGTGCGATGCTCCTCCGTGTGGGAGCACAAAGCTTTCCCTCCTGGTTCTGCTAAGCTTGTAAAATGAAAAGCTTTACCCACTCCCCCCCCGCCCCAAACCCCTCTTCCCCCAGTGTTATTGCATTGAGTGTTGTGGCTTTAAGTCTCGGGTACGTTTGTCTGGAAAAATCCCTGGCCATGGAATATAATTGCTTCTTTTAAGAAAGAGAGACGTGGTGGTAAACCTGCAATAATAGAAAGCCAGGTGAGGGAAGAGAGAAGAAGGTGAGGATGTGCAAAAAAGTTCTCTCAGCTCAGCCGCTGCTAGCAAATAGGAAACACAGTTTACATCAGAGCCATTAAAATGGCCTCATATCCATGTCTTGGTGCCACCACGAGAGGGTTTTGCTTGGCGCTGGCCGATGTCCAGGCAGTGCTGTGACCTCCAGAGGAGCCCGTCCTTCCTCAGGGCCTGCGGGCTTCCACAGGGCAGCAGCTGGGGCAGAGCAGGAGCTGGAGTGCTGCTCCCACTGCGACCTCAGAAAAATCACTCGGCAGCCCTCAGCAAAAATTGAGTCCCGCTTGCTTATACTGTTCTAAAAAAGCATGTTCTTGCCAGAATAGTTTGTACTGCAAACAAAATAACTTGGACTAGCAGCAGCACTTTTTGCCAGTGTTAGAGTCTAAACATACTTCTTTCTTTTCAAGGTATCAACATATTGCCAGATATTTCCCCCCCCCAGTCCCATTCTAAACGACATTGCTATGTGAGAAAACAAAGATCTGGCCAATGGCAGCTAAAATTTATCCTTTAAAACAGCTTCGTTCCAAAGCAAAAAAACAACTTAGCCTCTCAAAACATCCCTGTTCAGCGCTCTGCTCACCCTGGGGTGCTTGATTTGCTAGAAGCCTTTTTCCTGCCTGATAGATGATGAATTATTTTACCTACTGCAAAGGACTTTGGACTGTTTAAGGTTTGATTCATTGTGAGCCGCCAATGCAGCAGGGGAACTGGAAGCAGAGAGTGCCGTGCCCTAGCAAGGAGTAGACTGTCTGAAATGAGAGTTCTCATGGTACTGCCACACCCCACAGCACCTTACTGTACTCATTATGCATCAGATGTCCCTGAGATGTGATTTCAACAAGCTGCCAATGTCCAGAATGATGTTTTAGGCCCATTTTAGTGGAGCTGCCTACCCCAGCCAAGATTAGTCAGGGAGGGAGCTTAGTTCTCTAAAGAGTGACCTTCCGTGAGATGATAAAGAGGCCATGGAAGGAGGCAGCATCCAGCCTTCCTCTACCTGAAATGCACCAACAGGCATTCCAGTCATCTTTTAGAGCTGAGCTTAAAACTGGAGCTTTTTTGGTATTGCGTGCCAATGCCAACACAAATTTCTCTTTCTTATTTACTGAAAAAATTCTTTCGAAAAACCATATAAACGGTGGCACTGACTTAAGAGAGATAGCCAAGCTTTGTGTCTTGACAAAGTGGGTGGGCAGAAAAATATGATGAGGAGAAGAGCTCTTTGTAATAATAGTATATAAAAACCAAGCCCATGTGTACTTTACCCTGCCAGTATCTATGTGAAAAATGTCCTTTTTATGGTGAATCTGCAAGCTGGTAATACAAATGGAAAATCAACTTCATGCACATGCAGAGAACAAGGCTTATTCTGGAAAATGCTCCATGCTTACACTCCTTTGTATGGTGTAGCCCTTCACTAAAACCACCCATCTCCCTGTACCAAAACAGACCACATCAAACCCCAACTCGCAGTTACTGGTACTCCTGCTTTTCTAAAACACCAACCCTACCCATCCACTTGGGAAATGCACACTACTGATATATCCCAGTAGTTCTTCTTCCTTTATAGGCAGTCCTGCCCATATTTCTTCGTAATATTTAAGCAGTAAACTCTCAAAACCCTATTTCAGTCATATTGTCTTCTCATCTAGAATGAAACCATGTATATTTAACAGTAGGGTTATTATTTATTTGAAGAGACAAAAAGCTGTTAACTATCTCCAATTTCTGTTAGTCTTTTCATAGATTATTTCCTTAGCTAGGGCTGCTGTCAGAAAAACCGTTAACACATAAAGAAGGGCATCTGCTAAGCTTTCATCCTCAATGTCAAAAATGCACTGAATTAAACTCTTTTGGGGAAGTCATGAGTGAGCTAGTGGCTTTTTTGGATTGAAAGATTCTCCTTTGATAACATTGCAAAGTTCGTATTTATTTTTGGCCCCTTGGCTGATGAAATGACCTCCCTTTAGAATCCGCAAATATAAATAGAATTGACGCTTTAATGATCAGTTTTCACAAGCAAGAATAATCCTGTGTTTTAGGCATTAATATTGTTCCAAATCTGGATGCAAAGGGCGGTTTTACAGCTGCAATGATTCAAAATCAAAGCGTTCCTGTCACATCCAAGTTCTCAGAGAGGGTGCCTGGAAACACGAAGCATCTGATGGAAATTATTGAAGTGTTATCTCTCCAAAATGCCATAAGGTGGCAGTGAATTAGAAAATTGGTACTATTTCTGGGGAGAACAAAGCTTTTAAAAGCTCAGTGGCAATGATGGAGAGGCCTTTCTGTTTGTCTAATTTGTCTACTTACATTTCATGTATCACCATCAAATTCAAATCCAATCACCTTAAGAATACGCTGCGTAGATCTGCTCCAACATTCATGAGCAGCCAGTAGACATGTTCCTGCACAAGGAATTCCTGCTTTTTCTTTCTCCTCTTCAATTAATCAGCAAGAAATTTTTCTGTTGCCTTTTTGTTTGCTTATCTTACAGCTATTGCTGTGTCATTCCAACATCTGCCGTGGAAAGAGGGCAGGAGGGTAGTGTTTTATACTTCCGTTTGGCTGATAAGGATGAAATCATTCAAGGTTTCTTTGCACTTTGATACACTACTGATTCAAACTGATACTGATAGATCCACCAGTTTTGCCAACTGAATTATAAAAAAAAATAATGTGATATTGTAATGGTTTGCCTCTCGGTTAATTGGCATGGGCAGAGTTGACGGCTATAGTTGAATTTTAACTTTCCTCTTTTTTTTCTAGTGGAAAACCAGAGATTCTCTGACTGCTCAGGCATTAATTATTAGACAGTAACTCCCAAAAATTGGTTCTGATTTTTATCCCAGAACAAAATCCACATGAATCTATGTTTAGAATGTACCGGGTACGTTTATTTTTCTGAGCAGAACAGCCACTTTCAGTCCTGAGAACCCAGCGTTTTGCAATGATTTCCTGTCACAAAACATGTCATCACCAACAATTGCTTCAGAGACCAGCTGATGTTTAGCTGA